TTTAATATACACAAAGCTAGAAAATTATTTGAACACAAGAGTGTGATAAAGGAAGTAGAACAAAATGACTGGTATCCTTTTAACTACCTATAGAATATTGGCACTTAGAGCCATTGATGCATTTAAAAAATACAACAACCCAAAACATAAACCATGCCCTATGAATTACTTATCTCAAGTAAATCACCAAACAATAAAAAAGAAAACTAAAAACTAGGATACTTCTGGGGTGAGAGTGTGCCTGGGAGAGAGAAAAGCATAGCCATAATGCTGACATATAAAAAGACTGGAGAAAAGATCTATTGCTTCGTGATCTACTGATTATCTGGTGACTTATTTGTAAACACACTGCCCCTGCAAAGAAATCTGAAGAAATCTGCTTGTGTTGGAAGTTGGTCTTCCAAATGACAAGCATAATTTTTTTTAGTCATTAATGTATCTACCTTAAGCGTTAAAGCATATAGATATCATCATAGTAAATGCAGTGGAAAAATATGTGAAATCAGAAATAATATCGTTTTCAGTTTAGCATTTGTGTGGGCCATTACAAATTCAATGGTTAAATTAAAAGATATTTTGAGTTGTCACTGGTTTTAGTGGGCAACATTCAAAGTGAGGCAAATGAGTCAGTATACTATTGAAAAAATAATGTCTGTGTGAATTAAGACTACATCATAACATATGTTGTTGAAGAAGCTGGTTTGACACCGACTGTGCTCAGCTACAGATGTGATCTTTATTTGCTAGAATGGCTAGATAAATGAAGATAATGCTAAATAGGAGAGTGTTGAAAAAGTAATAGAATGGATTTGAAATATAAAACAAAACCAAAACATTTTAATCAGCTCCTTTAAAGCATTAATTTATAGATTAGCGTACAAATCTATGTAGAATGCCCGATCAAAAGAGGGCATTTTTGTACCTGTTGGAAGAAATGTAGTGAAAGGCATTTTTTAATACAGCCAGGTCTTTTGAGGTTCTTGTGCAACTTCTTTATTTTGCTGATGATATTGTGGTATTATGACATTTTATAGCAAAAAGTAGGTATTTGCTTCTCATACAAGATTCATTTCTTACCACCCAGATGATACCATCTACTTAAATGTTAAGATGTTCTTGACCACTAAGCTTCCTTTTATTTTTTTCCTTTATTACTCTTGTGATTCACTTTTGCTACTCACTTGAATATTTACTTGAAAACTGTATTAAAATGATCTAATCTACTCCACAGTAATGTATTCTATCTGATGCTGCTTTTGGTGGTAATGCATAACTGCATACTTAATGTTCATTCCCTTCTGCCTGCTGAGTTCCAGCAGTGTGTGTGAAGACTCATGGAAGACAGTGCAAAAGCAGGAAAAGGCCAAGTGTCAAATGAGTGCTGAATGGAGCTATGAAGAAATAGTTTGTCTTTTAAACATAGCTGCTTCAGTAATCCTGCATACATAAATGTTGTGTAAAAGCATGCTACCCTTTGGAAGTTTTTATTTACAGAAAGGAAAACACTTAAAGACTGAGATGCATTGCCTTGCAAAACAAAAAAAAAATATTTAATGATTTAAAAAAAAATTGTCTTGGAACAATTACCTGAAAAAAACCTCCCATATTCTTTGCATTTTTCTCGCTTAAATAATGCATAATATTATTCAGGAAATATGAAAAAGTAATATATTTATAATAGCAATTTCCATTCCCTAGATGTACCAAGATGTGTTTAAATAGTTTGCTTATAATTTCCCAGTGTTCGGATTGATAAACATATCTATGTTGTGTCAGATGTGGCTAAAACTCTTCCTGCTGCTCTCTGTTTAGAGAACAGAGGTGGATTAATTGGGGTATACTTTATATCTGCATGTGTATTTTTCAGTTTGCATGAGAGAAAATAAAAATTTTACCTGGACTAAACCGGAGGATTTTTAAAAGAAAACTGGTGAATGAAGACATGCAAATTGCTGGGCTAAAAAGGTGTCCTGGGTTCAGCAGTAGCAGTCATTTTTCTCCTTCTTAGTAGCTGGTGCAGTGCTGTGGTTTTGACTTTCAGCCTGGGAACAGCGCTGATAACACTGATGTTTTTAGTTGCTGCTCACTAATGTTTACTCTGACCAAGGACTTTGTGAGTCCCATGCTCTGCCAGGGAGGAGGGGAAGCCGAGAGGAAGCAGAGACAGGGCACCTGATCCAAATGGACCAAAGAGGTATTCCATACCACAGCACGTCATGCCTGGTATATAAACTGGGGGCAGTTATCCAGAAGGGTCAGATCACTGCCGAGGTTGGGCTGGGTATCAGTTGGCAGGTGGTGAGCAGTTGTATTCTCTTCCCTTGTTATTTCCCTTATCATTATTATTATTGGTGGTAGCAGCAGTGATCTGTGTTATACCTTAGTTACTGGACTGTTCTTATCTTAACCCATGGGAGTTACATTCTTTTGATTTTCCTCCCCATCCCTCTGGGAATGGAGGGGAGGAAGGGGGGGGGGGGTGTGAGCTAACAGCTGCGTGGTTCTGGGTTGCCGGCTGGGCTTAAACCATGGCAAAGCATCAAGGCATATTTGAACCATATGCCATATTGTGTTTGACATTACTTTAAAGAAAATATTAATTCTGTCTCCAGTGCTCTAGTTTCTTCCAATTTGTTTAGGCAGAATGTATACTGTGGAATTCTCTAGAATCAAATATTAACATATTCATAGAGGCTTCCCATAGTATGGTAATATAGTAGTCCTCAGGGCAGCTGTGGTAAAAATCTCATTACATTTTTCTTTCTTGAACAGTCCTAAATGAAATCAGCAGTGCAGATCAAAACCAGCTAAGTGAGCAGCATAATGAGGCTTTCAAATATGGACACTTATAAATGCATCATCTTTCCTTAGCTGTTGTAAATGTTAAAATATTTTAACTAAATACTTAATATGTGCATGGAACAAGTTACAAAACAGCCTGAAGCTGAAAAAAAATAAATATTTAATTGCTTTTGACTAAAACATGGTATATGCATATATCAAACCAAAACCAAATGTCTTTGAATACTACAAGCAGCATGGAATTCACAATATTTTCTTCCTAGCACATCCGAATATAAGTTTGTCCTGAGTAGCATTGTGCGATATAACTGCTAAAAGGCACATCTCCTGAACAGTTGTGATTTTGTCACTGTGGAAAGTCCCAAATTATGTCATCTTTTCTCTCCCATGATAAGTTAATTTTTATGTCTGAATCTCCATGCTTTGGTATTTGTCTAGGGTGACTACTTCAAGCTTTGGTCTGTGTTGGAATCTGAATGCATGGCATAAATGTTGTATTTTTCAAATAGAGAAACAACAAAGCATGGAATAATATAGGATGATCTCAGGAATTTTATTAAATGTAAAAAAGTTCACATTTCATTTCATTATTACAAAGTACATTTATTATAATAAAGCATAAATTGTACATGTGTCTGTGAAGGATCCATTTTAAAGTTGGAAATGTTTCAATATAAACTGCAAAATTTAATATGGTTAATCTGTGTAACAATAATATTGGCAACAAAAGTTCAAGCTGCTTGTTAGTAATGAAGTAGAAAGAAGGTATATGTACATTTCAGAAAAGGATAAAGGACCACAAGCGTAAGAAGACAGCTCCATACTAAAACTTGGGTAGCATTACAGTTTGGCAAAATCAAAGTAATCTTTGTTCAACTATCTAAAACTTCATTGTCTTTTGGAATTTTTACATATGTAGTCTGTACTTTAGAATTCCAAGTTGGAAGGGCTTGGGAATTATCTCTACCACCCTATACCCAGCAAACGTATACAGGGAAGCATACATGGGAGTTATGCACAGCACACATTCTATTAAGCTGTGCAAATTAAAAATGTGCCCTGAGATACATGGTCATAATAAAATGGAATCTCCTGTATGATTTTGTGAATGTGTTAAAAGATTTTTTGTCCATAAAAATGTGTAAAACTTTTAAATAAATTAGCCACTTGAGATTGTTTTCCTCATACAAATGTTCCCTTCTGTGCACAAATTACTATTGTATGCTGAATATCACAGGAGGAGACACTTGCTTCAAGAAACTCAGATGTTTATTCTTATGTCATTGCTACTTGGCCTTTTCATAGCTTCTACAGGAAATAAAAAGAGGCTCCTAGTGACATCCTCACTAGTTTTCTGTATTCTGTTTCTCAGGCACGCAGCCACCAATGGCACTGATGTCATTAATATTGTTTGTTGCCACAGAAAATATATGGACCCAGTCAGAGATAAATATGATCAGACAGAAGCCATTTATTACAAAGCCTTAACCCCTTATATACTATTTCTTACATGCACTTACAGTGATTTGGCATATTACGATTGGATACATATCTGGAAGACCTTTAGTGGCTAACATATAATTGGTTAAGCACAGGTGTGAGAACTTGACCTCGAAAACTTGCCAACAGTCCACAGTTCTCATTAACTTGGTGAATTCCAGCTTCTTCTTATCTTTCTTGTTTAGGCTTCCTCAGGCCTCTCATGGCCTTGCTGTATCTTTCAGGATTATTCAGACTTTCTGTACCAAGTATCCATTCTCCTGTGAGAACACTGTCTCCGCAGTTTGTTTTAGGGGGTTTTGTTTGGTTTTGGGGTTGTTGTTTTTTTTTTGTTTGTTTTGTTTTTGAGATTTTCCCCAGCAGCATTAGTCAAATGGCTTACATTCATGCAATTTTCATTTGACTGATGCACTAGAAATAGGTCACCATAATGCAGAAGTGGTTGCCAGAACAATATTGCGACTACTGGTCACATCTCCTAAGTAAGTTTTTCAGCTTTCATTTTGCTGGAAACAATATAGTCTGCCATATGAAACTGGAAGTTTTTGTTATGCCATCAGGAGCAAATCACTGAGCTTTGGATATCTAGTGGGTTTACTTGTCATTTTTAGTAATTAAAGAATTGTAGCTACTAGCCAGCCAACTGTGTGATGCTAGGGTGTGCACAGACTGATATTTTTTTCTCTTGTATCATTTAGATTTCTCTACAACAGAGGAATTTCTGTATGAATTGCAATATCAATCAAATGAAATTAAATCTCAGCTCGAATCTTTGGTTGGTATGCATCTTGTTGAAAGAGAATGGGATACAGAATCCAGAATTGCAACGCTGGTGTTTAATATAGTGTTTGCACCTAACAAACCAATGAGGTAAGCTGTTGTTCCTTATTACCAAGTGAATATGTAATAAAATACTGCATGGTCACTCTTAGCTATGTAGGCATCACCCTGCATTTTTTTCTTCATTTTGTTTTCACCTCAAAGATCTATTATTGTAAGTTTTCTCACTTGCTGCTTCTCAGTATGGTATCTTTGGTATTAAAACTGACAGTGTTTCTTTTTGCTGTCTGTGAGATGGCTCTGTTGAGTTACTGCATTAGTCTGTGTGTGCATCAATTTATTTCTAAACATTGGAGTATTGAAAGACTTTCAATAAAATGTAGTTGTTCTTAAAATTCATAGAAATTACGCAGACAAGATGGTCTATCAGTCTTGAAAAAGTTTTCCTAGAAAGCATGTGTGCATATTCTTTGGCTGAATGGGATTGTTGAATTTGAAATTAGTCTCTACATCCCCAGTAACAACAGTCCACAGGAAAATATTATCCTCTTTTATAGCTGTGATGTGAAAAATTACAGATTTGCTTTGATTTACATTATTTTCCCACCTCTTTGAAAAGAAGCTGTGAAAGGGGGATCCTTTCAGAGAGAAAGAAGTTGCACATTCCTGTTGAAGCAGTCAGATGTGTATGGGAAGTTGGAATGAAGATTCAGTAACTTGCAGGCACATGATAATTTCAGATGCTCAACATTATGAGGAAGATTAGGGAGCAGTCACTGCCGAATATTATAGGTTGCAAGCAAAGAGAGCATTTTTAGGATGCAGGAGGGAGCGCTTATTTCCACTAGTCCAAAAGACAACCGAACAAGAAGCAAACCTTTAGGAATGACTATCCACTCAGCCCATGTACTGTCAATTTAGAAAACTGTTTTATCTCTACACTTTCCTTCCTTATTTTATTATTTTGGTTTTTTTTATCATTTTGTGCTTGAGACTTATCAGGCTTCATGTAGAGGACTCAATAACTACAATTAATTAGGTTCTTTATCTCAAAATCTACAGCACCAGCTTTCTTCTTAGAGGGTCTGAGGAGATTAGAGTCTGAAATTTTTCTAAAGGACATGAACCTTTGTCAGATATATTTGATTCCAGTATGAACTGTTGAAATATTCTGGACAAAATTCTCCGACACAGTACATAAAGAATAATAAGTAAAAATATTGAGTTAAATTTGTTTAACTCAATAGAGAGTAAGCAGAAGAAACAAATGTCATGGGTGTGCCAATTATTTTGCTTTACTGTTATGTTCTTTCTTGTATTTTGCTGCAAATATTGAGTACTATTTAGTCTATGTTCCAGTCTAAGTGCAACTGGTACATACTATACCATGAAAAATTAAGAATGTATTCCAGCTAAAGCTATCTGTATTTTCATTTTACTGTAGTATAGTTTTACACACGCAAAGTTTATTTTGGACATTTACTCAGTTTATGTTTTATAATGTTTTTCCATGTATTATTCTATCTGAAATTTTAAGGAATGAAGCAACTCTTGTAGTACAGTACACTGCAGGAGGTATTTGGAAGTTTCCAGTTCTGTTCATTGCTTTGGAGCCAGAAGTGGATGATATCATCAACATTGAAGCAGTTGGCCTGAATAAGGAATCTATAGTTGGCTTTAAGCTTACAAGCCAGACAAGGTAAAAATACGTAAAGTATTTATGCAGTTTTCTGAGGCTAGAACCTAATCTCAAACATCAGATAGGATAGATCTGAGCAACAGAATCATAACTGGGCTGCAGCTATTTCATTAATTTAAAGTGCTGTATTTTATAGGTAACATGATTTTGAATCTATACTGTAGAAGACAGAAACATACTGCATTTAGTCTCTTGGCTCTCAAGAGGAAATTTATGGAACAGGTCCAAATGCTTATTTTGTGACTTCAGTTTTGCCCTAAAATGCCTGTGTGTGTGTTAAAATGTGTAATACAATGTTCAGGAGGGTATGTCGTGATACTAAAGGCTACTATCAAAACCTTCCTGGTTTTACTGCCTTCTACAGGCAGCTGACAGCGGCCTCACGGTCACAGGCCGTGGTCGTCGTGGGGGATTTTAACTTCCCTGATGTTTGCTGGAAGGACTACTCGGCAACCCAGCCGCAGTCCAGGAGGTTCCTCCAGTGTATGGATGATAACTTCCTCATGCAAATGGTGGATGAGCCAACCAGGAGAGGTGCGCTGCTGGATCTCATCCTCACTAACAAGGAGGGTCTGGTTGAAGGAGTGAAGGTTGAGGGCTGCCTTGGTTGCAGCGACCACGAGATGGTAGAATTCAGGATCTTGTGTGGTAGGGTCAGTAGAATAGCAAGTAGAATCGCAACCCTGGACTTTAGCAGGGCAAACTTTGGCCTCTTCAAGCGATTGCTAGGGGAAATCCAGTGGGCTAGGCTGCTTGAAGGGAAAGGGGCCCAAGATAGTTGGTTGACGTTCAAGGACTGCTTTTTCTGAGCTCAAGATCGGAGCATCCCGACACGTAGGAAGTCGAGGAAGAGGGTCAGGAGACCTGCGTGGTTAAATAGGGAATTGCTCGGTATGCTCAAGTGGAAGAGGAGAGTTTACAGGTCATGGAAAGAAGGGCTGGCCACTTGGGAAGAATATAAGGCTGCTGCTAGAGGATGTAGGAAAGCTGCTAGGATGGCTAAGGCCTCCTTGGAATTAAAGCTGGCGAGAGGGGTCAAGGACAGCAGAAAGAGCATTTTCAAATACATGGCAGGTAAAACTAACACCAGAGGCAATGTAGGCCCGCTGATGAACGGGACGGGTGCCCTGGTGACAGAAGATACAGAGATGGCAGAGTTACTGAATGACTTCTTTGTCTCTGTCTACTCTGCTGGAGGCAGTCCTGAAGAGCCCTGTACCGCTGAGACCCCGGATGAAGATAGGTCAACGGAGCGGTCTGCCTTAGTCGATGAGGAATGGGTTAAAGACCAGTTGAGCAATCTGGATATCCATAAATCCATGGGTCCAGATGGGATGCACCCGCGGGTGCTGAGGGAACTGGCTGAGGTCATTGCTAGACCGCTCTCCATCATCTTTACCAAGTCTTGGGAAACGGGAGAGGTGCCTGAGGACTGGAGGAAAGCAAATGTCACTCCTGTCTTCAAAAAGGGCAAGAAGGAGGACCCGGGTAACTATAGACCGGTTAGCCTCACCTCCGTTCCTGGGAAAGTGATGGAACACCTTGTCCTTGGTGCCATCTTAAGGCATATCAAGGATAAGAGGGTTATGAGGGGCAGTCAACATGGCTTCACCAAGGGGAAGTCGTGCTTGACCAATCTCGTAGCCTTTTATGAGGAAATAACACGGTGGATGGATGATGGCAGAGCGGTGGATGTGGTCTACCTCGACTTCAGCGAAGTGTTTGACACGGTCTCCCACAGCATCCTTGCAGCTAAATTGAGGAAGTGTGGTCTGGATGATCGGGTAGTGAGGTGGACTGTGAACTGGCTGAAGGAGAGAAGCCAGAGAGTTGTAGTCTATGGGGCGGAGTCTAGTTGGAGGCCTGTATCTAGTGGAGTGCCTCAAGGGTCGGTACTGGGACCAGTATTATTTAATATATTCATTAACGATTTAGATGAGGGAATTGAGTGTACTATCAGCAAGTTTGCTGATGACACTAAGCTGGGAGGGGTGGCCGACACGCCAGAAGGCTGTGCTGCCATCCAGAGGGACCTGGACAGGCTGGAGAGCTGGGCGGGGAATAACTTGATGAAATATAACAAGGGAAAGTGTAGAGTCCTGCATCTGGGCAGGAACAACCCCAGGTTCCAGTATAGGCTGGGGAACGACCTGTTAGAGAGCAGTGTAGGGGAGAGGGACCTGGGGGTCCTGGTGGACGACAGGGTGACCATGAGCCGACACTGTGCCCTTGTGGCCAAAAAGGCCAATGGCATCCTGGGGTGTATTAGAAGGGGGGTGGTTAGTAGGTCGAGAGAGGTCCTCCTTCCCCTCTACTCTGCCCTGGTGAGACCTCATCTGGAATATTGTGTCCAGTTCTGGGGCCCTCAGTTTAAAAAGGACAGGGACCTGCTGGAGAGAGTCTAGCGCAGGGCAACTAAGATGATTAAGAGAGTGGAGCATCTCCCTTATGAGGAAAGACTGAGGGAGCTGGGTCTCTACAGTTTGGAGAAGAGGAGATTGAGGGGTGACCTTATTAGTGTATATAAATATATAAAGGGGGAGTGTCACGAGGATGGAGCCAGGCTCTTCTCAGTGGCAAACAATGAAAGGACAAGGGGTAATGGATACAAATTGGAGCACAAGAGGTTCCACTTAAACCTGAGAAGAAACTTCTTCTCAGTGAGGGTGACGGAACACTGGAACAGGCTGCCCAGGGAGGTTGTGGAATCTCCTTCTTTGGAGACATTCAAGACCCGCCTGGACACGTTCCTGTGTAACCTTATCTAGGTGTTCCTGCTCCGGCAGGGGGATTGGACTAGATGATCTTTTGAGGTCCCTTCCAATCTCTAACCTACTGTGATACTGTGATACTGTGATACATGCTTTTGTGGTATCCCCAGCAGGAAGTGTCCTTTGTTCCAGCTGATTTTTGTTTTAAGAGTTCATATCCAAAAGCTGTGTCTCTAAGATGGACAGTTGTTCCAGCTTTCAGATGGCTGTCAGTGATGATGATTACTAAGGATTCTGAAAAGCGCTTATATCACAGTGTTCAAATTAATAGTTTCAATGGAATGGGCTGCTTCAGGAACAAAAATGAAGCAATTGCTCTGGCAATACTGTAATCTCCTGGTAGGTGTTTGATAGTAGTGAAGAAACCTAATGTTCTCCCAAAAGATGTTATAAAACCTCAGTCATTACAGTTATAAAAAGAAGAAGCCATGATGGAAGATAGATTCTCTTGTTTTCTTTAACCAATTTCCAACTTTATTTTACACAAGGGTTCCCCCCATATATTTCAAATACAAAATGTAATGCTTGCATATACTGAATAAGCTCCATGTTGTAAATAGTGCCAACAACTGCTGTGTAAGTTTTATTCTGCTTTATCTTGTCTCTGACTTCCTTACAAGATTTTGGTGGTGGAGGTTTCGTAATAGAAATAAACCAGCCAACCAAAGTTAAGTATATTGGATCTGCAGTTTAAAGCAATTACACAAGAAACTGCATACTACAGATGTAATTTAAGGCTTAAATAACTCAAATTACTTAGATTAAAAATAAAACCACAAAATATTAAATTATGGACTGAAAGTTTCATTTGGGATATGAAGTGGCATCGTATAGACCTCCCCTGACAAAAATGATCAGGCCTTTGGAGTTTTTTCAAGTGAACTATTAGCAGCACAATCACCTAGAGAATCAGTTCTGGTACTTAAAAGAGAGGCAGGTTTTTTTTTTCATCCTGCATATA